ATTGTTGTCATGCCAATGGTGCAGGGACAGAGAATGAGACAAGAAGTACAGGTGGTCAAGTGGGACTCTATAACCCTCCTTTTGAGAAGTGTGGTCTTCCTGGAAGCAACTTGCAAGAGGGTGCAAGTGGGAAGACAAGCTGACTCATGTTGGCTTGACTCACTATTGGTAGCCTTGAGTACAGCTCTGAACATCCAAGTGTGGTTGGCTTTGCTGACCTAGCTAGGACGTTTCCCATTCTTCTCTAGCCTTTCTCCCCTAGGACTCAACCTTCTCTGAGTTCCCAGGATGACCCAACCCCTTATGAGTCCCCTAGGCAATGTTGTACTCACCTCTTCCTTGCATCAATGAGAATACACGTTTTTTCAGCCGAGCTTACGTTTTCGTTCACTGCGTAGTGCACACACCTCTGATAATAGCAAGTAATATACCGTTGGAAAGCAGACACCTAAGGCTAACCGCTGTCCAAGTTTCAGCCTCGTATTATCTCGGAGCTGATCGTGACGGCGTTTTGAACAGAGGCGGTTTGAAGACGTCAGATTCTGCTTAGGCGGTTTCATGGGCATCCGCGACCCCTAAGTGGACTGCAGACTATAACAAGCTCCATTACCTCCAGCACCAACAGCACCTCCAGCACCTCCAGCACCAGTAGCACCTCCAGTACCTCCAGGCCTAGCAGCTCCAGTACCTCCAGCACTAGTAGCACCTCTAGTACCTCCAGCAGTACCTCCAGGCCTAGCAGCTCCAGTACCTCCAGCACCAGCAGCACCTCTAGTACCTCCAGCAGTACCTCCAGCACCTCCAGCACCAGCAGCACCTCTAGTACCTCCAGCAGTACCTCCAGCACCTCCAGCACCTCCAGGACTAGTAGCTCCAGCACCAGCACGACTGTACCCTCCACCACCAGGACTGCCTCGCCGAACGATCCACGCACGAATCGCCTGCGGCGAGAGCGTCTCAAGTAGATCAGGCTGCGGTGGCTGTCCAGCTCCTGCACCTCCAGTAGTGGTAGCTCTAGCACCTCCACCACCAGCAGCACCTCGAGTACCTCCAGCTCCAGGACCTCCAACAGGGTCACCCACAACTCCACCGCCACTAGGACTCGCAGCACCCCCAGAGTCAGCACCCCCAGTCGCGGCACCCCCAGAACCAGCACCCCCAGACACAGCACCCCCAGAACCCTCATCCTCTGTCTCAGCACCCCCAGTCTCAGCACCTGTAGTCTCAGCTCCAGAGTCCACAGCAGCAGGCTGTGGAGGCGGCGAAGACGGTCGAGGCGGAAAACCCGGGGGGGGTCTCCAAGCGTGGAGAGCGGCGAGTGGCCGCCGTGTCGTACGCAGCTGGGTCACCCCCCTCAGCTGGGCCAGAGGAGTCATAAGAGATCTCCACTGGCTCATCCAAGGGGGGTGGGTCGACCTGAGACACACCTGAGGGAGCAGGACCCTGTGGGGGGAGGGGGTCTCCCGGGGGGGGACTGGTACCAGGAAGAGGGGTGCTAGGGGAACCGGGTGGGACGCGTGCGGGTGTAACTGGTAGTAAGAGACAGACTCGTCAAAGGTGACGTCTTGGGAGGAGAAGACTCGACGTGAGTGCGGGTGGTAGAACTGCCATGGCGGGGCGTCAGTGGGGAAGCCAAGGAAGACGCAGCGGAGAGTGCGAGAGGAGAGCTTGCTCGCTTTGGCATCGCAAACAAGGGAGAGCGCGCCCCATACCCGAAACACTGACGCATCACCAGCCTTCCCCGTCCACCGGAGGGTGGGCGAGGTCTCTGGCACAGAGACACGGGGCCAGAGGTTGAGCTAATGCGCAGCGTATCGGACCGCAAACGGCCACAGAAAATGGGGAGGGGCCGCATGGATCATGGAGGTGCGAGCAACCTCCATGATCAAGCCAATGCGACGCTCAGCAATCCCATACTGCTGAGGAGAGGCCGGAAGCGTGAACGTCTGGCGGATGCCCTTGTCTCGACAGAACCCCGTAAGGAGGTCAGAGGAGAACTCACCGCCCCTGTCAGAGCGCAGACGCAGGACTGGGAAGTCCTGCTGAAACCGCTCGTGCAGCTGGAGACGAGTAGCACGGATCCAGGGGATCAGGACACCGCTGACGTCCGCCTTGCGCCGCAAGGGGAAGACAGTGGTGTAGCGTGTGTAGTCGTCAACAACCAGCAGGAAGTAGTGCTCGCGGTCCGTTCCACCGATGGGGGCCGGGCCCCACACATCCATGTGGAGAGTCTGCAGAGGAGCAATGGCCGGAGGAAACTCGGAGGAGTGAGGAGCGGCGCGCTGCCGCCCCTCGACGCAAGGAAGGCACGGCAGGGCAAGCGAGCGCGGCAGGGGGGGCAGGGTCCTGGGGAGGCCAGAGACAAGGAGACGGGAGTGCATGCTGCGTAGACATGGCAGGGAGGGGTGACCAAGACGGTGGTGCCAGCGCTGAGTCTCGTGCGTGAGTACTCTGCACGAGCAAGACGGAGCTAACTGTCCCGACGCAGACGCCCGACTCGACGCAGCCACCTGACCTGACTCAGCCACCTGCGCAGACGCAGTGGTCAGTGTGTACAGACTAGACCCAGGCTGTCGAGTGAATGTAGCCAGGTGACGGCCAGTCCGGGAGCACGTACAGATCGCCACACGCTGCCCTCCAGGAATAAAGGTATCAACCCAGACATCCTGAATGGCAGCGCCGCTCACCAAGTTCGTCGAGAACGTGGGGAGGTGGAGACCTGACAGAGAACCGGAGGGGACTGCTGGACAAGGGAGAACAGTGGAGGCTCGCGCAACTACTGGGCCCCCAGAGGGGTCAGCCAGTGAGACTGGGACAGGTGCTGCGAGTGGTGTGACTGTGGTGCAATCACGAAAGAAGCAACGTGACGCGCCTGAGTCAAGCGTGAAAGTGTGCAAGTCCTCAGCTGAGGTAGGACCTGTGGCAGTAGACGCACTAGCACCTAGAGCGTCGGCAGACTCACGGGCACCTAGAGCTGCAGCAGACTCACCAGCACCTGGAGCGGCAGCAGACTCACTAGCACCTGGAGCGGCAGCAGACTCACTAGAACCGAGAGCAGTAACCTCGACACAGCCAGGGACGCACCGCTGAGAAGCACAGTCGCGAGGTCGCTTAGGCCACATAAAACCAAAACCTCCACCACCAGGACTGCCTCGCTGAAACACCCACTCACGAAGCTGCTGAGGGGTGGGGTCGTCCGGGAGAGGCAGTGCCCGTTGCCGTCCACCCCTGGTCGCAGCAACTTCCGCGATAGTGGCCATGACATACAGTGACGGTCAGGAGTAGGTCCAGCACCTCCAGCTCCTCCAGCACTAGCAGCACCTCCAACTCTCCCAGCAGCACCTCCACCAGCAGCAGCAGCAGCAGCACGAGTAGCAGCAGCAGTAGTAGTAGCAGCAGCAGGGCGGCTCAGTGGGGCTGGGCGGCCGCACCTCCAGCACTCCCAGCAGCACCTCCACCAGCAGCAGCAGTAGCACGAGTAGCAGCAGCAGCCGTTTTTTTTTTTTTTTTTTTTTTTTTTCAGGCAGGGCGGCGCGCGGGCTGCAGGGGCAGCGCCCACGGGCTGCAGGGGCGACGCGCGGCTCGGCAGGGCGGCGCGCGGGCTGCAGGAACAGCGCCCACGGCTGCAGGGGCGACGCGCGGCTCGGCAGGGCGGCGCGCGGGCTGTAGGGGCGGCGCGCGGCTCGGCAGGGCGGCGCCCAGGCTGCAGGGGCGACGCGCGGCTCAGCAGGGCGGCGCGCGGGCTGCAGGGGCAGCGCCCACGGGCTGCAGGGGCGACGCGCGGCTCGGCAGGGCGGCGCCCAGGCTGCAGGGGCGACGCGCGGCTCGGCAGGGCGGCGCGCGGGCTGCAGGGACAGCGCCCACGGGCTGCAGGGGCGAACGCGCGGGCTGCAGGGGCAGCACGCGGGCCACAGGGGCAGGCACGGCTGCAGGGGCAGCACGGTGCAGGGGCAGGCACAGCTGCAGGGGCAGCACAGTTGCAGGGGCGAGCACGGCTGCAGGGGCAGCGCGGTCGCAGGGGCGAGCACGGCTGCAGGGGCAGCGCGGTCGCAGGGGCGAGCACGGCTGCAGGGGCAGCGCAGTCGCAGGGGCAGCGCGCGGGCTGCAAGGGCAGCGCGGCTGCAGGGGCAGCGTAGGAAGAAAACATTTACGGGTAGGGCAGGGCGGAACGTTCGGTGGGCCCTAGGAACGATTCTGCTCTAATACTATGTTAGAATAAGCAGGCAGGAATGAATGAACTATGAATGAGTTGGGTACAAGTACTAACCCTAAAGTGTTGTACCCCTTGTAGGCTAACCCACTATAGCCTAGGAAGAACACAAACATACAGTTTGACAAAGAAGGGCGAGCGGATTTGAACTAAATAATTGCCTTCATTGACGTCGCTACACGATACGTCTGGCACGCACTTATCTTGTCGAGCGACCTCGCCTACAAAGCCTTCGTCGCATGGCTCCCGTCTACGGAATTCTAGTCGATACAAATCGCTCGGCAAGGCTCGGAATTTCGCGTCGATGAGATTCAACCTCTGAAATCCGCGTGCGACTCAGGTTGACACTTTCTTTTGTGCTTTGTTTTGTATTGCGTTCTAGGTAGTATATAGAACCAGAGGGCACAAACCATAAATCAACTTTAGTCACTACTAATTTGTGTGTACGTATCTTTGGCAATAGTTGATCTTTTCCTGCAATCTTTGGTTCGTTGGAATCGTTCTTGAACCTTACCTGAACAAACTTGGAAAACCAGATCGCTTGCCATTATGGACACCAACATTATGAACAAACTTGGTAATGTACGAACGGCATTGATATACGGTACACGAGACGAGACGCAAAATAAGGCACGCAGACTAGAATCTTACATTCACGCAAAATAGATGAAGCACCTCTATTCACTACCATCATCCCTCGAATGCCTGCTATATTATCTGTACACGAGTCACTCACGCCGTGAACCTGCGCCCCCCAACACAAGCCTCTAGTCCAGGGCAGGAGGGGGAATTAGCGCCAGACGTTGACGACGCCGTCACGGCTGGCGGAGAGCAGCAGGCGCTGCCCCGGGTCCGCCACGGCCAGAGCCAGCACGGCATCGCGGTGGCACCCCCCCACATCCACCGCCGCCACCTCCACCATGCTGCGCCGCCCCCCTCCCCCTGCCCCTCCACCTCCTCCTCCCGCTGCCCCGCCCGGGCCTGTATCTGCGTGCCCCTGACTGCCTGCTGCTGCCCGCCCGCCTGCCTCTGCAGTGGAGGCGCCCGTACCGCTGCCTCGCTGGCGCGTCGCGTCCACGTAGAAGGGGGGCGGTGTCTCCTGCGGTGGGTGGCGTGGGATAGACGAGGTGTGGGAGAGGGTGACGTTGGATGGATGGGATGAACAGAGTGGAAGACAAGTGGGTGGGAGTGAGACTGGTGTTTGCAGCAACCAGTGGATGGGAACGCAGTGCAAGGGAGGCAGGGTGTCAATGCACGCACCTGAATGACTCTCGCGCCGTGCACGATGCGCATGTCGTAGCGCGGGTGCAGCACCTCTCCCCGCGCCCCCCTGGCCGTGGGCCCGCTCACCCACCCACTCTGCTCCGGCCTGCCCTCTCGCCCGCGAGGAAAGGAGGCGGGGGGGAGGGGGAGGGGGGGTGGGGGAGTGAGGAAATGGATAGAGAGCTATGGCAGGTGGACACAGGGAGCATCACCTGCAGTGTACCCTGCACGGGCCACCTGCAGTGTACCCTGCACGGGCCACCTGCAGAGCATCACCTGAGGTGGCAATCACCTGAGGTGGCAATCACCTGAGGTGGCAATCACATCAGACAGCAATCACCTGAGACAGCAATCACCTGAGACAGCAATCACCTGAGACAGCAATCACCTGGGGCGGCAGCAGCATCACCTGAGGCGGCACCAGTAGCGGATGCAGCAGTCAGTGCCGGCTGTGAGCAGCGCACCACCCCCTGGCACTCCCAGCAGCGCCCTCACCCCCCCCGCCCTGCCCGGTGGCTCCTTCAGCTGCTCCACCCGCAGCGCTGACTGCCTTGCCTGCCTTGCCCCACTTGCCCCGCTTGACTGCGCTGACTGCGTTGACTGGGGCAGAGGGCCGTTGGGCAAGCAGGGCGAGGAGGAGAGCGTGCGGCCGGAGGGCGTGGTGGTGCTGGTGGAGAAGGGCGGCAGTGGCAGCAGGTGTGCGCGGGATTGCAGAGCGGTGGGGAGGTTGGAGGGCGAGGGCAGCGAGGGTGGGGAAGCGGTGTTGGAGGAGGGCTGGGGGGCCACGGAGAAGACCTGGGAGGGGAGGAAGGTGGAACGGGGCAGGTGAGGATCATTGCAGATGAAGTATGAAGCAATCATGTGGGAGTATGGAATAGAGTGACAAGGCACGACGGTGGAACGACAGGCCATGCACTAACGCTCTTATCATTGCATCATTGTCTGGGGTTTTGGATTTATTCTGGTGGCACCGTACCTGGTGGCACCGTACCTGGTGGCACCGTACCTGGTGGCACCGTACCTGGTGGCACTGCCCCGTGTCTGCACTCCACAGCCCCACCTCGTCCCTGCCACTTGCCACATACACCAGAGGCCGCGACGCCCCCCCTACTGCTCCTGCTGCACCTGCTGCTGCTGCCCCACCCCCTGCCGCCCCCACTGCCCCTCCCCCCGTGCCTCCCCTCCCCCGGTCCGCCCCAAACCATCCTGGCAGGTGCTCCGGTCCCCCTGCTGCCGCTGCCCCCATGGCGTCCCCTGGGGGGGGGAAGGCCGCTGGCAGCATGGGCGCCAGCGCAGTGATGGGGGGCGGGTGGGGCGCGGAGGGGGCGGAGGGGAGGCGCCAGGAGGAGAGGGGAAGCAGGAAGCGCAGGTCCCAGAGGCAGAGCGCGGAGCAGGAGGACGCGCCCAGCAGCCACAGGCCGTGCTGTGGGTCGGGCAGCACGTGGGTGGGCGCTCCTAGGGATGCGTGCAGGTGCAGCGAGAAGGCGGGGCGGGCGGCTCGCATGTCCCACAGGGTGATGCCGCCGTGCAGTGAGGCGACGAGGAGGAGTGAGTGGGAGGAGGAGAGAGGGTTGCAGGAGAAGAGCGAGGAGGAGGAGGCGGAGAGGGAGGGCTGGGTGGCGCCCAGGTTAGAACCCGCCCATGAGTGCACCGAGAGGATGGCGCCTCTTGAGGCACCTGGGCCGTGGTTGGAGGGGGAAGAGGGGGAGGAGGGCTCGAGGGAGGGCATGCGGGTGATGCAGCGGTAGGAGTCGGGTGAGGAGAGGAAGCGCGGCGCATAGTCCACGTGCACCACATGCACCTCCCCACTGGCGTACCCCACCGCTGCCCTCGCACTGTCCCCCATCACTGCCACTGCCGTCGCCCGCCCTGCCCCACCCCCCACTCCACCTCCCCCTCCGCCTGCCCCTCCCGTCCCCCCTGCCTGAGGCGCGTAGGTGAGTTTGGAGCGGAAGGCGGTGCCACGGTCGAGGCGAGTGGCGTCCCACACCTTGACGGTGCCGTCATGTGAGGCCGTCGCGAACCACTGGCTGTTGGGCGCCACTGCCAGCGCTGGCACGGCGGCGTGGTGCTCGTGCAGCTGCGCCACCAGCACCCCGCGCGGCCGCCATGCTGCTGCTGCTGCTGTGGTGGAGAGGGGCGAGGGCGAGGCGGGGGGCAGCGCCATGGCGGCACCGTCGTCCGCACTGCCCCACCCCAGAAGCCTCTGCACCTCTGAGCTCACTGCTGCTGCTCTTCGCTCCCTGCTCTCCTCTGCCTCTGCGCCTGCTGCTTGACCCGCTGCTGATGGCGGTGCTAACTGTGCTGCTGCTGGCAGCTGTGCATGTCCCGTTGTCCCCGCACGCACCCCGCCTGGTTCCACGAGATGTGGAGATGCAGACGTGGCAGATGACGTGGCATTAACATGGGCGGCACTGCGATCAGCCACGGATGATTGAGCGTGACTTGCTGCACGCGCTGGCACCTCGCATGCAGCATCACCACCAGCTAACGCCCTCGGCCTCTCCAGTGGCGCCGTGTGACCCTCCCTGCCTGCCGCAGACCCACGTCTGTTCACCTCTTCCTCTGCTCTGCCTCCCTGCCCAGCCTCTGCTGCACGCATGCTGGCAGGTCCGGCAGCAGGCATGGCAGGGGGGAGGGTATGCGGAGCCGGGGAGGTGGTGGGAGGGAGGGCGGAGGAGGAGGGGGGGCGGCGGGAGGAGCGGAGGGAGAGGGAGAGGGAGGAGATGCGTGTGTGGGGCTGTGTGGTGCCCAGGAACACTAGTGAGTGCGACACCGGCGCGGGGGGCGCAGGGGCGGGAGGGGGGCCGCGCAGTGTGTGGGGGAGGAGAGGGGCTGTGTGAGGAGGGAGGGCGTTAGAGGGTGGGAGTGGAGTTGGGGTGCTGGTGGGTGTGGTGGAGGAATATGGAGTGGTGGGTGGTGGCAGGGACGGGTGGGACGGAGAGTGGGAGGTGGGGAGAGCGGCGGAGGTGGGGGAGGGAGAGGGGAGGTCGTCAAGCGAGTCAAAGGCGAATGGGAGATCAGTGGGCGATGAGAGGTGAGGTGCAGGTGGGTGAGTGGCAGGTGCGTGAGTGGCATGTGGGTGAGTGGAGCGCGCAGCAGGAGCAACAGGGGACTGCTCGCATGCCCCCACAACGGGAGTGCTGGGTGCTTGAGCAGGCAGAGATGTGGCATGCGAGCAGGAAGACGAGACGCTGGTGGCGGCAGCAGGAACAGATGGTGAGGCACGCGCAGGCAGTGCGGCAGCAGCAGCAGCACTGGCAGCTTGTGCGGCTGCCAGCGCGTCTAGCGTGGCTCGCCCTGTGCCGCCCGCACAGGCTGCATCAGCCGCAGTGGCAGCAGCAGCGGCAAGAGTGGCAGTGGGTGAGGCAGAGGGTGAGAGTGCTGAAGGGGGGCGAGGCAGTGAGGGCGGAGAGAGGGTGGTGGAGGGAAGCGCGGAGGTGGAGGCTGCAGTGGGCGGCGCGGAGGCGGGGTGGGCGAGTGAGTAGAGAGGCACAGCGAGGGCTGGCAGATCCAAGGCTGGGTGCGACTGTGCGTGTGGGGTGGCAGGGGCGAGAGAGAAGGAGGCCGATGGGGAGTGGGGCGAGGCGTGCGACGAGGGAGAGGGGAGAGACGGGAGAGAGGGAGCAAGGGGGAGGTGGATGGGAGCGAGAGAGTGTGAGGAAAGTGGTTGGCGAGTGGTGGAGGAGGTGAGAGAGGAGGGCGGGTGGGTGGTGAGGGGAGGAGGGGGGCGGTGGAAGGACAAGGAGAGCGAAAGGGGGGAGGACGCGGGGTGAGGGGATGGGAATCGAACAGGGTGGAGGGGGGAGATGGAGGGGTGGAGAGGGGGGAGAGGGGGGACGAGGAGAGAGTGGGATGCAGAGGCAAGCAGGGGAGTGTGGAGGGGTGTGGAGGGCCAGGGAGCGGTGGAAGCAGGCCAGTGGGAGGTGGCAGGCCATGGAGCAGTGGAGGGGAGGGGCGGCCAGGGCTGCCCCGTGTCTGTGCGCATGCTGGCAAGCGCGGCAGCCATGGCCGGGTATGGCGCTGCTGCTGCTGCTCCCTGTGTGGGGGGCACAGCATATTGCATGGAGAGGGAGTGTGCGAGTGTCGACAAGGCCACGTGCTGTGCTGCTGCTGCTCGCCCACTTGCCGCCTGCCCTCCCATCGCCACGTCCCTCCCCTCCTCCTGCCCCACCAACCGCTTCCCTTGCATGTCTGCTGCGCCTCCTTCCCCCCGGCCCACTGCTCCCATGTCTGCACCTTGCTCTTCCTCGCCGCCCCTTGCACCGACTCCTCTCTTGCTGCCATGCTCATCCGCACTCACACCCGCACCTGCAGCAGTAGCACGGCCAGCCTCTGTTTCGCGTGCAGCAGCAGGTGAGAGCACATGCGGCACGCGGAGGTCGGGCGCTGCTTGCCCTGCACTCATGTGCCATGACGCCACACCTGCTCCGGCTGGAAGGGGTGGGTGGGGCGGGACAGCAGGGTGGGCTGACAGGGGCGCCTTGAGCGCAGCAGCAAGGGAGGCGGGGGAGGTGAGCAGCGCGGGGCGGTAGCGCAGGGAGGGGGAGAGCAGCGGCAGCAGCAGCGCGTGGGCGTCAACAGCCGACAGCTGACTCGCAGCAGCCGCTGCAAACGCCACAGCAGCGCCCCTCACGTCCCCCTCGGGGTGCCTGAGCAGCGGCGCTGCATGCCGTGCTGCTGACAGCAGCCACCGCCGCTGCTGCAGGCGCTGGGAGCGCGCGAGCTGGGCCAGGCACGCGGCAGCAGCGGCAGGCACAGAGGAATGCGAGGTGTCCCCCAGGGCTTGCTCAAGGCAGGGCAGGAGGAAGGCGGGCAGTGCGGAGGGGGCCACATGGGGGCAGAGCGCGGGCAGCGTGTGGAAGAAGGCAGAGCGCACGCGGGGGGAGGGGTCGTTGAGGAAGGTGATGAGCAGGGGGAGCAGCGCGGTGGTGGCGAGGGGGGGACCGAGGAAGACAGCGAGGGAGGGCGCGTGGTGCAGGAGGGAGAGGCGGATGGGCGGGGTGCTGCGGGGCAGCGTGGAGAGCTCCTCCACCGCCACTCGCACCGCCTCCCTCACCTCCGCTACCTCTCCCATGTGCTGCTCTGGGAGCCCCTCCGCTGCTGCTGCCAACGCCTTGAGCGAGGTGAGCGTGGCGCCGCTGCTGACTCGTTGGGACGGCGGCAGGCCGGACGTTGCCAGCACGCCGCAGGCCGGACGTTGCTGGTGGACGTCGCCATCGGTCTCTCCACCACCCCACTCCTTCCATGCAGTACTGCTGCCTTTTCTTTCTCCCTCACTTGCCCCCTGCCCGGACTCCCCTTCACTTCCCCCAGTGGTGCGTGTGGCCCCCGCGGCGAGCAGCAGGAAGCGCAGCGCAGAGGCAGCAAGGGAGGGCAGGCAGAGAGCGAGCGTGGCGCGCACACTCTCATCGGGCGAGCGGGGGAGCAGAGAGAGCGAGGGGAAGAGGTACTCGGGGAAGAAGCGCGCGTCCGTGGAGGGGAACGAGCGCACGCGCTCCAGCAGGCGCGTGAGCACGGTGAGCGCGGTGCAGCGCACGAGAGGCGGGCTGGCAGCACCGCCGGGGAGGAGCGTGTCGAGGGCGTGCAGAGGCGTGGCGGTGAGGCCGTCCGGGGCCAGCACGGCCACCAGGAAGGGCGCCACGGCCTGCAGACACACCGCGTGCGAGCAGTGGTGCGCCGCCGCGTGCAGCAGCAGCAGGCAGTGGCGCCGTGAGTGCGGCAGGCGAGCGTTGCGCAGACAGGCCGTGAGCAGCCCCACCAGCAGCACCATGGTGCTGCCGCTGTTGCCCACACCGCCCCCTGTGCTCTCACTCGCACTACCCCGTGCGCCTGTGCTGCCTCTCCCAGGTTTGGTAGCACCCTCAGCACTCTCAGCTCTCCCAGCTCCCTCGCCTATCTGAGTGCCAGGTATGATGCCTGTGCCCATGCCATCACCACCTGTGCTGTCGACTGCGCCAACATCACACCCAGTGCTGCTGCTGCGCTGCTGGCTCCCATTGTCTTTCTCCCTCGCACTGCTTGGCACCTGCTCAGAACGACCGGCCCCCTCATCCCCCCTGAGTTCACCACTCCCCTCCACGCCCCCTTCCACTGCCACCTCCTGCTCACCCCCCTGCTCCCCACCCCCCTTTCCCCACACTCCACTCTCCCCCCGCTCTGCCTCCCCAGCACTACCCTTCTCCCCCGTCCCCTCCTCTTCTCCCTTCCCGTCGGCATCCCCCTCCCCACCCCCCTGCAGCGAGGAGGCGATGATGCGAGACAGGCGCGGGTAGAGCTGGCGGGTGAGGGCGATCTGGGGGAGGGGGAGGAGGTGAGGCAGAGCAGAGGGGGGGAGGGCGAGGCAGTGCAGAGGGCATAGTGGGAGGGAAGTGCAAAGAGTTAGGGCGTGTTCGAGGAGCTGTGGTGTCAGCCCATGCCCCCCAGCCACCCCGCTGCTGCTGCCCATGCTGGCAGCACCCGCAGCAACAGCAAATCAGTGCATGTGAATGCGAGGCACCTGCAGCAGCATGAGCATCCCATCAGCATCACCCACCTCCCACCACCCCATCACCCACCCCATCACCCACCCCAGCACCCACCCCAGCACCATGACCCCCCGACCCCATGTTACCCGGCCATCAGCGTCCATGGAGGGCAGGTGGCAGAAGAGGTGGTCGTGCAGGGCGTCAAAGGCGGGCTGGGGGAAGAGCGCGCCGCCATGGGGGTCGCTGAACGCCGTGAGGTACGCCGCTGCTGGCAGGCGCTGTGAGGGGTCCCTCTGTACCATGTGCGCCACCAGGGCTCGCACTGATGGGCACGGGATCTGCCATGCAAAGGGACGGAGAAGGGGCGAGGGGATGGGGGTAGGCAGCGCAGAGAGGGAAGAAGAGAAGTGGGATAGCAGCAGGGAGTGCCGGCACGGCCGCCACATGAACCACTGGCTGTGGAAACGGTGCCAAGGGTCCCTCTGCTCCATGTGCGCCACTAGGGCTCTGAATGGATGAAGGGCATGGGATAGTAAGGGGAGGGGGGTTAGTACGAGAAACATGGGAGGCATTTCGTGTGTGGCAGGAAAACGCGCGAAGCAGTGCGGTGGAGGGGCAGCAGCGAGGGGAGTGCAGAAGAAGGGCGGGTGGGATGTGATGGGAGACATGTGGATCCCCCCAGGCAGCAGTGCGGCATACCCGCTACAAGGCCCGTGGGGCACAGCCGTTGAGTGGCGGGTGGGTGGGGCATACCCGGTGGATGAGAGGGAGCGGGTCGTAGGAGCCGTGCACATAGGCGAGCAGCGAGGAGAGGTCGAAGAGCACATCGCCGTCTAAAAACATCTCCGCTATCACACACCTGCCAGGGACGCAGGGAGAGGGTAGTGTGGCGGTGGGGGGAGGTTGGGTGAAGGTAGGGTGCTTGTCCCCTGGGAGGGAGTGTGTTGCACGGAGGCACGAGGCGTGGGGAGCAGGAGTTAGCAGCGAGTTTTCATCGAGGCAGGATTGGCAGCGTGACAGCAACGGCGGGCATGTGGTGGAACAGCACAGCACCGCACAGCACAGCACAGCACAGCACAGCACAGCACCGCACCGCACCGCACAGCACAGCACAGCACAGCACAGCACAGCACAGCACAGCACAGCAGAGCACAGCACAGCACAGTGCTTAAACGACGGCAGAATGAGCCTGTAGCAGGTTCAACCGTTCAACCCAAAGGGGGCCAACGACGGAAGGGCGGGCACGGACCCCATGGGGCAATGGGAAGGCTTGACTCCACCGGGCTTGTGCGCGCGGCATGGTGGGATTCGCAGGGCATGCATGCAACCATCCCACCCGTCATCCCCTCACACCGTTCCAGTCCCCTATCCCACCACCTTAGCAGCATGCACACACACAGAGAGAGCAGCACTCACCCCGCGGAGAAAATGTCCATGGCGGGCTGTAGCTGTGCTCCCCCCACCCCGCCCTCCCCCTCACTCTGCCTCTGCCTCCACTCACTCGCCGACACAAACCGCTGACATGCCGTCACATTATGTCATGATATGTCATACCATGCCATGCCATGCCACGTCAGGGTATCAATACACACACACACCAGGACACATGCATGCAGAACCAAATGTTCCACGTGAGAGCATGTCGATCCCAGGCACATGCGCCATGTGTGTTGCATGGGGCATGGTGGCCATGCCGCATCACACATGGCATTGCAGCAGTCCGGAAAAAGAGAGCAAAGAACGAGAGTGTGTGCTAGTGATAGACTACTGCCTCACATTCGTACTAGTATGCTTTTTATATCCTAAGTCGGTGTACAAGTAGTTTCCAGGGGATCTACTGAAGGAGAGGAAAGGGGGAAGGAGCAAGCCTGGGTTTGGGTGGGGGGGAACAGCGCGGGTGGGGGGAAAGGCAACGGGGGGGCGCACCTCAGGGGCGATGCAGCAGCGGCGGCGGCCGGAGGGGGCGGTGTCGAAGAAGAAGGAGAAGATGGCGGGGTTGTCTTTGGGCACGAGGACGGGCTTGAAGGGCGCCCAGTCCACCACAAACACCCAGTTCCACGCCGTCACACACACGTTGTCCGCCTTCAAATCGCCTGCCCGCCCGGGCCCCCATGTATCATGCATGCATGGGTATGGGTGATAGATACGTGTTGGTGCATTTGTGCATGGGTGCATGGGTGCATGGGTGCATGGTACATGCGATTGGGAATGAGGGCGAGATGGTGGTACGGGAACACCCTCACAAGCATGATGTGGAATGGAGTGGGTGCATGACGTAAGCAAGAGTTAGAAGAGGAGGCGTCTATTGTGAGCGTACTGTGAGCGCCTATTGGTTGCTCGTGATGCGTGGTGAGGGGGAGGTGAGTGGGTATGAGGAGGGAGAGGTGGAGATGATGAGCGAGTTAAGGTGGGGGGGCGTGAGACTCATGGCATGGCAGGCAATGGTGGCATGGTGGTGAACGTGGGGAGAAGCTGAGAAGGACACAGGGAAGTGAGCAATAGCGACAGAGGGCACGGCAGCAGTGAGAGGGCACGGCAGCAGTGAGAGGGCGAAAGAAGAAGGCAGCGGAGTGAGGGAAAGTGCGGGCAGGGAAGCGAGGGGAGTGGGGAGGCGGCGCACCATGGCAGACCCCCCGTGAGTGCGCCTGGTCCAACGCCTTGAGGATCTGCGCGGTGGGGGAGAGAGGGACGAGAGGGAAAGGACGAACTCACTGTAGAGCTGATGAGTGACAAAAGCAGCTGGCAGGGATGGATGAGAAACACTCAAGGCCTCGAGAGCTGCACCTGAAAGCTGCCGCCCTGAAAAGTTTGGGAGCAGCAGGTTGAGGCATGGGCTTGTGGAAGGCGATCTACGCGACATGGGAGGAGCACAACACGTGGATCGCCTGGACGGCAACGCCGCATGGAAGGCAGCAGCGCACCTGGAAGGCAGCAGCGCACCTGGAAGGCAGCAGTGCACCTGGAAGGCAGCAGCGCACCTGGAAGGCAGCAGTGCACCTGGAAAGCGATCCTCCAAGAGAGACGCACCTGGAAGGCGATCCAGTTCTTGAAGGTGAGGCCGAGGAAGGGGCGCGTGCCGAGGCGGTCGTGCAGCGTGCTGAAGAGGTACTGCCTCAGCACATACGCCGCTCGCTCCGTCTCGTACCACTTCTGGCCGAGGGAGGGGGCAGCGGAGCGGACAGACATGGGGGAGGTTTGAGAGAGAGGACCAGAGAACTGGAGGCAGGGTGGAAGGGAACACGCAAGCGGGTGGCAGCGGGGGATGAGGCTGAATGGTCAGAAATAGATTGGTGGAGAAGAAGGGTGGGTAGTGGCGGGAGAGAAAGGCGATGGGCCAGTGGTGCATGCGGCAGGCAGTGGTGCATAGGCGCACCTGGAAGGGCAGGGCGCACCTGGAAGGGCAGGGCGCACCTGGAAGGGCAGGGCGCATCTGGAAGGGCAGGGCGCACCTGGAAGGGCAGGGCGCACCTGGAAGGGCCAGACGTGCGACTTGTGGATGCCTGAGAGGCGGTGGCGAATGACCTTCAGCTGCTGCTCGTACGCCTGGCGCCGGGGGAGACAGGGGCGGGCGGAGGGGAGGGCGCAGGGGAGGGCGCAGGTAAGGGCGCAGCACGGGATGGGATGGGGGTAAGGAGGCCATTTGGCAATCTGCGGCTGTCAGGAGGCCGAGGCGAGCGCACAGCGTGCCTGGCCAGCGGCGATGGCTCTCTAGCCGCTCCAGAGGCACGTGGCGCTGAGGCCATCCCCCTCATCCACGGGGTTGTCCCCCGAGCGCCGCTCTCTCCCCATAACCCGCTCACTCTCACTCGCCTGTGACGCCACCTTACGAAACTGCGGCACGGAAAGGTTCAATTGCGCCTGTAACGCGGAAGTGGCAGCGGGGATGACTGGCCTGCAGCGGGAGCGCGAGGTCGGCGCGTTTGAGGAAGACTTTGACGATGACGCGGCCCTCGTGGTGGAAACAGTCGAGCGTCTTCAGGAAGCGGCCCGGCGCCAGCACGTCCTTGAGCACCACGCCGCGCGGCAGGTCGTGCACCCAGTAGTCCGACGCCACGCCCGCCGCCGCCTTCGCGATCACCACCTGGTTACCCATCGCTCATGCGTCGCTCGCTACGTCGTCCGCTACGTTCCTCGCTACGCTACGTCGCCTCGCGAGGCGATCTTCATGTGGGATGCTGCCTGCTTTCCTGCCTAGACTAAACCGCGGCGAGCTGACGACTGTGGCCTTGGATTCGTCGATCTTGATGTCGACGGGAGAGTGCACCCGCATCCGCATTATGGAAAAGATTAGTCCTATATTACATCGAACTACTAAACTACAGTTTAGGCCATATTTTTCGCGACCTGTATGGTCTGCTAGTCTGATATGCAGATTTTCATTTAAATGGTCTGAATCTGAATACGGTTGTTGGATTATTTTCAAGTTATTTATTAAGTGATTCTACGAGCCTGATCATACAAAATTGCCACTCCGCAACCCACATTACATAAGCATGATAAGGTGAACATTTGATAGTAGGGCACTACGATTGTTACGATAAGTAAAGCATATTACGATAAGGAAATGCACTTGCTCCTGAACGTAACATGACCTACGACCTTAACGAGTACGAAGATTAAGGGACGCGATGAAGCGAAATGTCGAAGACGGTTACAATCAAGACCGATGCTGGCATAAGCATTTGAAAGGGAAAATGCGGGAACAGATTTGAGACGAGTTCCCCTTATGCGAGCCGCCACTGTTGTGATGTCACCAAGACCAGTCAGGATCTTGTAACCTCCGCTCCATTGCCTCCGCTACAGCCGCAGTGCTTCCTTGTCTCTTTGAGGGGTGTGATGTGCCCTAGCTTCCCACCTTCACTGCTTCTCTTGTTTGTGTTTGTGTTTGTGTTTGTGTTTGTGTTTGTGTCTGTGTCTGTGGCTGTGTCTGTGTCTGTACCTGTGTCTGTGTCTGTGTGTCTCAGTGTCTGTGTGTCTGTGCATGTCTCTGTCTCTGTCTATCTATGTGCCTGCCTATGCATGCTTGTGAGAGGGGCGTGCAGCAGCTGCTCGACGACTTCAAGGCCGCTCTGCTTGCGTGTTGGTACTGTTGCCACCTGTGTTTGTGTTTGTGCCTGTGCCTCTCTTTGTGTGTGTCTGCCTGTGCCTGTGCCTATATCTATGCACGCTTCTGAGTCGGCTCAAGAGGGGCTGAGTCTGTGCCTATATCTATGCCTATATCTATGCCTGCAGGCACCGCTGCCTCCCATGTTCATGTGTGCGTCTCTGTGTGCCTGTACCTGTGCCGTTGCCTATGCCTTTGCCTGTACCGCTGCCCACTACAGCCAGCCCTTGGACACAGCAGAGCTGCACGAGGCGGCAGCAGCAACAGCGGCCCACTCCTCCCGCTCCTCCTCCTCCCGCCCATCAGGTCCCCGCCGACGCGCCCCCCGCCTCCTCCCCTCCACCTCCGCCTCTCCCGCCCCCGTCGTCTCCTCCCTCACTTCTAAATCCGGCCCGTTGCTTACCTCCAATGCGAAGGCCAAAGGGCATGTGCATAAGGGGGGTGCGGGGTCTGCAAGGGAAGGCGGGGGGGATGGGAGTAGGCACGCCGCCCCCTTCCCCTCACCAACCCCTGCTAATAGTCACGATTCTGCTGGTGGTGCTGGTGCTGCTGGTGGCGATGGCGCTGGTGCTGGCGAGGGGACTGGGTCGTTGGCTGGTGATACTGGTACTGCAACGGGAACGGGGACAGGGAGCAATATCCGGAGGAGTGGGAGTGGGAGTGGGAGCAGGGGGGGGAGTGGGAAGGAGAAAGGGAGGGAGAGGGAGGGGAGGCTGATGAGGAGGCCCACCAAGTGGTTGGGGGCGGATAAGGCAGCGGTGGGGCTGCGGCAGGTGGTGCAGGTGCTGGCTAGAGCAGGCTACATCGACCCCTGCTTTGATATCTACAGGTGGGTGGGGTGGGGCTGTTGGTGTGTGGGGGTGCTGGTGGTGGGGCTGTTGGTGTGTGGGGGTGCTGGTGTGTGCGATGGGAGTTGCAGTTGCAAGTGTCGCTGCTGTGAGTGGCCTATCAAAAGCATCTGTGTGTTTAGATTTCACGTGTGTGCGTCATGGAAAGAAAACAAACATGTCGCTGTGGGGTGGTGGCTCTTGAGGCGCGCCACATCAGAATATGGGGGGAACATATGGTTTTTGAGTCGAGTCGACTAAAGAAAGGAAGCTTGTGGCAGTGAGAAGCGGTGGTTTGTTGAGCAATGGAGACAATGTAGGTAGTGAAGCTATGTGGTGCAGTGATGACGTGTGGATCTATTATTGCCTGTGATATTCACCTCTTCTCCTCACATCGACATGATATTCACCTCTCTTCCCCTCCCCCACACACACCTCCTCTCTTTCTCTCGCCCTTCTCCCGTTTCCCCCCTATCTCCCTCCCCTCCCAAGCGCCTCAACTTCCCTACCCTCTCCCATTCCCCTCCCTATATTCCCTCCCTGGGCTCCCTCCTGCTCTGTATGTACCCCCGCCCTCTCCCCCACCTCACCCTATCAGGTCGGTGCGGGAGGACTGTGTGCGCGAGACGATAAAGACGTTAGAGGTGGAGCCTATAAGGGGTACGACGCACGTGAACCAGCTGCCGTGGCAGCAGCTGCAGCACACCATGACAGACTGGCTTAGGGACTGCCGCCTCCAGGTGAGGACGGGTGTTGTGCTGCTGGTGAGGGCTGTGCTGCTGGTGAGGGGAGCTTGAGCTGAGGGCTGTGCTGGTTAGGGGTGCCTGTGCTGGTGAGGGGAGCTTGTGTTGGTGAGGGGTGCCTGTGCTGGCGAGGGGTGCCTGTGCTGGCGAGGGGTGCCTGTGCTGGTGAGGGGTGCCTGTGCTGGCGAGGGGTGCCTGTGCTGGTGAGGGATGCCTGTGCTGGCGAGGGGTGCCTGTGCTGGCGAGGGGTGCCTGTGCTGGCGAGGGGTGCCTGTGCTGGCGAGGGGTGCCTGTGCTGGTGAGGGGTGCCTGTGCTGGCGAGGGGTGCCTGTGCTGGTGAGGGATGCCTGTGCTGGTGAGGGGTGCCTGTGCTGGTGAGGGATGCCTGTGCTGGCGAGGGATGCCTGTGCTGGCGAGGGGTGCCTGTGCTGGCGAGGCCTTGTGTTGGTCATTTTGAAATGCTGAGTAGGTCTTCACCATGCCCCTCTCCCTTGCTTGCAGCAGAAACACACCTCTTTCTACCTTCGCTAATTCCCAACTGCCGGTGTTGATAGCCCGTGCCTCTCTCTCTCCTCTGTTTACTAACAATTGCCCCTCCCTGTCCCCGCTGTTGCTCCCCTTCTCTGCCCCTCCTCAGCTGCGCACGATAATGGAGGAGGAATTCTCCCTTGCCACTTACATCTTCGGCATACTCCACTCCACCGCACAGCACCACACTGCCAGCCACCGGGAACCCTCCGAACTCCTACAATCCCCTTCTTCCTCCTCCACCACAGCCACCAGCATAACCCTTTCCAACTTTCGGCTTCCCAGCCACCGATCCTCCAGCATCCGAACCACAGCCAGCAAGTCCGGGAGGTCCGGGAGCACGCGGACCTTGAGGCTCGGCGACGAGGCTGCGGCAGACTCGGGGAGGGCGATCTCTCTCAAGATCTTGCGCAAGGTGGGGATGCCTCAGACGCTGTCAACGCTGATGCACAACGCCAACACACTCACGGCTGCACAGGCCACTCCTGAGAGGCTCTTCCTGTTGCTCGACATGGCTGCTACTGTGGACGAGCTCATGCCTCAGGTGGGCAGGTCATGTTGAGGGCTCGTGGGTTGTCGGTGGGGAGGGGGTGGGTGGGGGGTGTTCGGGTGAAAGGAGTTCAAGTCTCAGGTGGGCTATGGTGGGGGTGATGGGGATGTTTGGGTTAGGGCTGGGTTGTATGGGCGGGGATGCCAAGGACACTGTCAACGCTGATGCACAATGCCAACACGCTCACAGCTGCACAAGCCACGTCTGAGAGGCCGTTCCTGCTGCTCGACATGGCTGCTGCTGTGGACGAGCTCATGCCCCAGGTGGGGAGGGGGATGGGGGTGTTGGGGGTTCTTGTTTCGTTTGGGTTAGAGGAGCTCATTTCTCAGGTGGGCAGGTCGTGTCTCAGTTGGGCAGGTCACGTCTCAGGTGGGCAGGTCGTGTCTCAGTTGGGCAGGTCACGTCTCAGGTGGGCAGGTCGTGTCTCAGATGGGCAGCTCACCACGTAAATTGTAAACCTAAGCCGCTGGTGTGCTGCTCGATTGTGGAAAAAGGTTGAAGGTCTGAGTCTAAGTTGGGGTTTTGTGGTAAGGAGCCTATGGACTCTAGTTCACCCAACTCTCTCTCTACCCCACTCACCATCAAGTGGAGTGATGTGTTGGTGGGGCAGCGAGGGCCTGCTGTCCAAAGTCATTGAGAATCAATCCTGCTCAACTCCTCTTTCGCCCCTTTGACCCTGGCAGGTAGAGCGGCTAGTGTGCTGGTCGGACAGTGAAGGGTTGCTGGCGGAGTGGCGGGGGCTGACATGCGGAGTGGCGAAGGTGGTGCTGGGCACGTTTGATACTCTCACTGCCACGCTGCAGGTGCCCGTGGAGCAGCCACGCAGAAACAAGTGGTACGTGGGAGGGAGCGAGCTTGGGAAAGGGAGGGAGGGGGGATAAGCAAGTGGTGCTGGGCACGTTTGATGCACTCACCGCCACGTTGCAGGTGCCCGTGGAGCAGCTACGCAGAAACAAGTGGTAAGTGGGAGGGATGTAGGCAGGGAGGAGTTTCTACTAGAGGGGGAGATGGGGAGAGATTGGTTGAGGGAAGGGTAGGGGAGGGGGAGTGTGAGAGCAAGTGGTGAGAGCAGTCGTGCAAGATCAAGCACCAAGTTTACGAGGGTGCAGCCAAGAGGAGTTTACGGGGGGATTGATGGGGGGAGTTTGTGGGGTTGACCTCTATGTGTGCCGTGTGCACCGCACGTTATATGCCGTGCGTATTGTGCCGTGTGCCTTGCATTGCATCTTATGCCTTGTATCTTATGCCTTGCATCGTGTGTGTTGTGCTGTGCTGTGCGTGGCATGCAGGCGGTTGTTCCGAGGAGAGGGCAGCAGCAGCGGCAAGGAGGGCGGGGGAGGGGGCGGCTACCCGCCCGGGTGGGGCGTGGAGAAGAGTGGGAGCGTGCATGCCGTCACCAGCTATGTGATCAACTACATTGACACCTACCTGGGCAGGTGCGTGCTGCACGCACCTAGACTAGACCCATACACATGTACCTCATGTCCCCCGCATGTGCTTTGTCACACTGCAATGGGGCGTGCGCGCAGTGACCAGCTACGTGATAAACTAGATCGTCACCTACGTGGGCAGGTGGGTGTGTGTGTACGGCATGTGGCATGCACCCCCCCACCCACTTGCCCGCCCACCCACCCACACACGTGCCTTGTGATGTGATCCCCTGGGTGCCATGCAGCTTATGTCCCCTTCCCCCTCATTCGCTTTGTCTCCTTGCAATATGATTCATTCCCTCGTCACGCTCCTTCACGCTCCTCACACTTTGTCCTCTCATCCAATTGGCTCATGGTGAGCGAATGGTATCCCTTTCTTGCTCCACCCCTCACAGGAGTGCCACGTCATCACGGGCGTATGGGTATGGCACGATGCTGGAGAAGCTGCTGGAAGCACTCACCACACCACGGCAGAGGGCGATCGAATTAAGCATATTTCTCCCTGCCTGCACCCCATGCCCCTCACATGAGCTCCACGTCATCGCGGGCGTATGGGTACGGCACGATGCTGGAGAAGCTGCTGGAGACGCATGGACAGGGGCGCAGCATGGAGGAGGAAACCATGAAGATGAGAGGGGATGGAGGGAGAGGGGGACAAAGTGGGGATCGAAGGGCAAAGCATGGAGGAGGAAATGATGAAGGTGAGGGGCAGGGAGGAATAAGTGAAAGGCGTGGGGCACACAAGTTGCGAGAGAGGTTGTCTCTTTGCACCCTGCCTGTGCCTGTGCCTACTGTGCAGCGCGAAAGCATAGGCAGCAGAGCAGCGCTCTATTCCAAGCGCGCGTGCAAGAACCTCTGCTCATTTCATACATACATGCCACAATCAAATGCCTTTTGTGTTGACTTGAAAGGCTACCCTCTGCTCATACATGCTCCTATCGCGTCCTTAACACACCAAAATCCTCTTCCTCAAACCCCTCCACCCCATTGTCGACCACACATCCATCCGCTTAATCCCCCTCCATCCTCTCGCACCCCCCTCCATCGCCCTCAAACCCCTTCCACCGCTCTCAACCCCCCCTCCCCCCGTGCAGGTGGTTGATGCGTTGGTACGGAACATGGAGGCAAGGGCCGGCATGTGCAAAAAACCGCTGCTCAAGTCCCTCTTCCTCGTGAACAACATCCTCTACATCAACCGGTATGCTATATTGCATGCGATCTTAATTCCGACGCTACATCAACCCGTATGCTATTCTGCATGCTCTAGCCTCCATATTGGAGGGTGCGCTTTACTGTGTTTGTCATCTTCTGTATTGGCTGGTACGTGTTACGCTATTGTTATCCTTTGTATTGGCTCGCTCTCTCGCCCTCCTCAACCCCCCACGCCCCACCGTTCCTCTGTTCTCTCGGACAGGTTGAGTGAAAAGATTCACCTGCCCCTGGAGAATCAGAAGCTGCTTGAGGCCCCTTCAAAGACATTCAGAGAGGCCGGTCTGCAAAAGGTAAGCAGATGGTTGTGTGCCACGTGTTACAGTGTGCCACGTGTTACAGTGTGCCACGTGTTACGGTGTTACAGTGTGCTGCCTGTTACAGTGTGCTGCGTGTTACGGTGTTACAGTGTGTTGCCTGTTACAGTGTGCTGCGTGTTACAGTGTGCCACGTGTAACAGTGTGCTGCGTGTCAGTGTATGCCACGTGTTACTGTGTGCCGCGTGTGATATCGTGAAAATTAACAGTCCGTGTTACAATGCACTCATGTCGCCCTATAGCAGGCCTCATTACTGCACACAAGATGTTGTAGAGAGTCCATTTTCCTGATGTTCCTTCCGTCCCTCCACCTCTCAGCCACCCTCACTGCCTCTCGCCTCTCCTCCCATGCTCCTGTCTGCTCGCCGCGGCTGCTGTAGGTAACGGCGTCGTTCGGCGGGCGAGGGAGGAGTGCCGCTATGGAACCCGGTGAAGTCAACAGGCGGTGAGTCTGAGTCAACCAAGTCAACAGACGGTGAGTTTGAGTCAACCAAGCCAAGCTGGGTGCAGAAACGCTGGTGGTCACAAGGCGGCAACGCCTTGGTGAAGATATCTGCAGTGTTGGCCTCAGAGACCACACGTCGCACGAGTGCCTGGCCACGCTGCTGCAACTCTCGTAGAAGGAAGTAACGAAGCTGGATGTGCTTCGCCTTCCTAACCAGTCGAGGCTCCTCGCACAACAAGATAGCAGACCTGTTGTCGGCGAACAAGACTGGGGGAGAGCGAGGCCGCTCACCAAGGTCGGTGAGAAGGAAAGACAGCCAGCGAAGCTCCTGGGCGGCCATGGCCGCAGCGTACACCTCTGCCTCACAGCTGGAACTAGAGACGGACGACGCCCGAGTCAACCTCCACGAAACAGCTCCAGTCCCAAGGCTGAAGCAGTAACCCTATGTGGACCGCAGCGACTCTGCGTCGTCGGCCCACGACGAGTCCGAGAAACCTGTAAGTGTAACTGGCTGCTTCCCTCCAAGGACAAGTCCCATGCCTGATGTACTCGCCACATACTTCGCCACCCTCTTAGCAGCGTACCAGTGGGAAGGTCGGTGTCTCCTAGGCGCAACAAAGCGCGCAAGGACGCTAAGAGGGTAAGCTAGGTCTGGGCGAGTACAGGTCATCAGGTACATGAGACAACCCACCAGCTCAGGATATGGACCGCTCGACTCAAATGGCTCGTCCGAAGGTGGAGCCGTGAGCCCATGGTCCACAGCAAGAGGGGTGGGCTGTACCTTGGAGAACGGGAAGCGAAACCGCGTGAGGATCTGCTCGACCATATGCGACTGCGTCAGCGTAATGGTGCGAGCTGCCCTGTCCCTGGTGATCTGCAGGCCGAGGTAGCGCTGCAGCTCAACAAGGTCAGTGCAAGTGTGTCTCCTCTGCAGTTCCTCCTTCACGAAGGCCAGTGCGCATCGGTCAAGAGTGGCGAAAACCAGGTCGTCAACGTAGACCAGAACAAAGAAGGGGGTCGAGCCACGACGGACGAACAGCGACGGGTCCGCAGACGACGGAAAGAAGTCAAGCGCTGCAAGAGTCGTACGGAGCGTGTCGTGCCACTCGCGGGGAGCCTGGCGCAGGCCGTAGACCGGTTGACGCAGCTGCCACTGGGTCCCAGGAGGGAAAGTGCCAGTGAAGCCAGGCGGACGACGCAGCCAAATCAGCTCGTGCAGGCTCCCCTGAAGAAATGCGGTGGAGAAGTCCAAGGAGTGCAACTCGTAGTCGCGCTGTGCCGCAATATGCCCAGCAACACCCGAAGAGTGGTCATCTTTGGGGTGGGAGAGAAGGTCTGGAAGAAGTCTACCCCCTCTCGCTGACTGAAGCCTCTCGCCACGTAGCGCGCCTTGAACACCGGTGGTGCTCCAGGCGGCCGCTGCACCTTGTAGAGCCACGTGCCACTGACAACGTTCGCCCCGGGTGGCGGGACGGCATCGACGTAGGTGCCTGTGGACCTATAAGATGCCATCTCTGCCTCCTCAGCTGCTATCCAGTATGAAGCCCAAGGTCCCGAGACTGCCTCAGCGTGAGTGCGAGGGATCGGGATGTCAAGGGCGTCTGGATCCCCCTCAGGGGCAAGCAGCATGGCGCAGAGATGAGGAACAGCGGCCGCAAGGAAACCAAGCTCGAACTGCCTGTCCTCCAGGACCTCCAAGGGAAAGACAGGAGCACCCCCAAAGGACGGAGAACGAGCAGTGCCACTCACCAGGTGAGCGGCGTAGTCAAGGCGGTGGGAAGAGGCAAAGGCACTGACAGTAGTGACAAGGGCCGAGACAGACAGCGGAAGGGCAGTCGGGTGAGTGACCAACGCGGACAGAACACGGGAGACGACAGGGCGAGAGGCACGGAGGTAGTCGGACAACGGGTCGTGAAGCACAATGAGGGACGACTGAGGAGGCTGTGGAAGGACCGGAGGAGACGGAACACGAGAGCAAAGAACAAGGTGAAACAGGCCGTCGGCACGGTAACGGGACCGACGAGGCTCTGGGGACACAGCACGACTGACAGGAGAACGACGAGTCCACTGGGACGAGGAAAGGGACTCGACAGGGGGAACAGGAAGGGGCGGTAGGGGACCACGAACAAAGCGTGCAGGTGCTGGGTCGGGCAGGTCTCTTAGTCGCTGCTGCTCTGCCTCCTCTGGCGACTGCTGCTGCGGTACCTGCCCCCGCTGCTGCTCCTCTGGCTCCTCCTCTACTCTCTCCTGACTCTCCGACTGAGACTGCTGCTGCTGCTGCTGCTGCTGCGGCTGCTGTCGTGACTCCTCCTCTACTCTCTCCTGACGCTCCGACTGAGACTGCTGCTGCTGCTGTCGTTGCTGCTGCTGCTGCTGCTGTCGTGACTCCTCCTCTACTCTCTCCTGGTGCTGCCGTGGCTCCTCCTCTACTCTCTCGTGACGCTCTGACTGGGACTGCTGCTGCTGCTGTTGCTGCTGCTGCTGCTGCTGCTGCTGCTGCTGCTGCTGCTGCTGCTGCTGCTGCTACTGCTGCTGCTGCTGCTGCTGCTGCTGCTGCTGCTGCTGCTGCTGCTGCTGCTGCTGTCGTGACTCCTCCTCTACTCTCTCCTGACGCTCCGACTGAGACTGCTGCTGCTGCTGCTGCCGTGACTCCTCCTCTACCCTCTCCTGTTGCGGGTGCGACTCCTCCTCTGCTCTCTCCTGACGCTCTGACTGGGACTGCTGCTGCTGCTGCTGCTGCTGTGCCCTCTCAAACCGCTCCCGCTCCTCCCTCTCCAAACGAACAAGACGCTGCTCACGTGTCAGGAAACGGACCGTGCGCGGTGTAGGCGCCGAGGTGGCAGCGCCTCCAGCTCCAGCACCCCCAGAACCAGAACCTCCACCGACAACACCCCCAGGGCCTCCAGTACCTCCAGCAGGAACACCCCCAGACTCTGCAGCGACCGACCGCTGAGGCGAACGGGGAGGGAACTGCGGGACTGACGGAAAGCCAGGGGGTGAGGCAGGGCGAGGCTGCCGACTCGAGGCAGCAGTGTCCTCCACTGGAGGGGGCTCCACACCCACACCCCCTGCACCCCCAGAGCTGGAGCCACCAGCTCCTACAGCCCCAGTACCCTCACCCCCCGCAGCTGCACCTCCCGCACCCCCAGACACGACAGAGACTGGACGCTGCGGGGGAGACGACTGGGGAGTGACGTGCGACACACCTGACGGGGCAGGACGCGAAGGGGGGGGGGCTACCGGGGCGACTGGGGGGGGGTCAGTGGTGAGGAAGAGCGGAGGGGAAAAGGTCTCAGAACCTCGGTGGGGGCGACTCCTGTAGTAACTGACCGACTCGTCGAAAGTGGCGTCCTGAGAATTGAAGAACTGGTAGGTAACCGGGTCGTAGAACTGCCAGCCGGTGGTGTCGAGTGGGAAGCCAAGAAAGACGCAGGCACGGGTGCGCGGAGACAACTTGTTCGCGCCAGGGGCGCGAACGTGGGCCAGGGAACCCCAGACGCGGTAGTCAGCTGCCTGGCGCAGGCCGTAGACCGGTTGACGCAGCTGCCACTGGGTCCCAGGAGGGAAAGTGCCAGTGAAGCCAGGCGGACGACGCAGCCAAATCAGCTCGTGCAGGCTCCCCTGAAGAAACGCGGTGGAGAAGTCCAAGGAGTGCAACTCGTAGTCGCGCTGTGCCGCAATATGCCCAGCAACACCCGAAGAGTGGTCATCTTCGGGGTGGGAGA